CTGTCGGTGTAGATGCCAGGTGGCCGGCGGACTTGTTGCCCGGACCTTCCAGCCTCACGTGTATGCTCACGTGTGCTTCTCTGACTTTTTTTTTTTTTTTTTTTTGAAGCCAGAGGACCATAAACCTTCAGTATTGTCATTTCCTCATCGACTCCAAACTGCTCCTGTGCTGTGCTGTACTTCGGGCCATTGCAAGGGCCTCGAGGTTAGGGGCAGCCCTGCCCTTTGCGTTTGTTTTCCCCATAGGCAGTGCAGGCTGCTATCAGTCGTATGAAAAAATAGATTGCATTCCACGTGTGGGCTGTACTGGTGAAGCCGGAGTGAAAAGATGCAGCCACCCATCAGTCAGTAGTGTCTTAGTTGCGCTGGACTCCAGGAGGTTGGATGTGTGGTGGTTGTCCTAACTAACCATCCTTGCTGAAGGAGGAGACAAACGGAAGAAATCGTGGTTTTTTTTTTTTTTTTTTCTTTCCCATTACCTGTTGAAGGCAAAGGCCTCGAACCATTGACGAGATAGGCAGTACTGACATTTAGTCATGATTTATGCGTTAAAAACCGGGTGACGTGACTTCACTTTGCACCCGGCTGTACCATCCAGAGATTCAGTTTTATAACCGAGGCTCTGTCAAGCATGGCATCTCAAGTTCTCACATCAGGAAAGCTCGCTCTGTGGAGCTGAATACTCCAGACCCACACTGTTCATTTACGAGCTTTTGGGACTGGAGTCATCCGCTTTCCTTTTCTGCCCGTTTCCTAGAAAACCCGCATTTACGAGCTTTTGGGACTGGAGTCATCCGCTTTCCTTTTCTGCCCGTTTCCTAGAAAACCCGCATGCTACCTAGTAGACACACAGCAGAAACGGCGTCACACTGCATAGATGGCTTTTCAGTACAGGAGAAGCGTTTAGTCTCAGCCTTCACATAGTTAATACAACTACTACTCTCTAGGGTTGTGCTAAGTTAGCCAGAGGATTGTGGGGTCACAAGTGAGGAGATGACCAGGTCTTTCTCTTTTAACAGTGAGCAGTCCCGTCAGGAAGAGAAAGCCTGCGTATGTAATAAAAGAATCGTGGAACTAAATGAGGTAGTAGCATCAGATGAGACTATAGTAGAGGAGAAATTTAGACAAGAGGAGGTCAGAGAGGGGGAACTCGGGAAGGTAAGATTAGGGTGGCCTTTAAAGAAGTGTGAAGTTGGAATTAGGAAAGAATTACAAAAATCCTGTGGCGAAAAGTTAAAATGTGAATTTGTTCATTGGATGGTGGAGAGTGATTTTGAGGAGTCTTGTGTGACTGGAGCAGAGAAAGTTTTCTTATACAGAAATAGAGAAAATTTAACAGGGTGGAAAGAAACGTGTTCCAGACCTCCCATTAATAATAGAGTAGAGCCTGTAGTTAGTTTTTGTCAACCTGACACAAATTATAATCCCTGGGAAGAGGGAACCCCTGTTGATGAATTGCTTCCATCAGATTGGCCTGTGCACAGTCTGTGGGGGCATTTTCTTCCGTGATAGGTGATATAGGAGTGCCTCCTTACCTTATCCTGCCCTCCCCTCCCCCGAAGAACCACCCCTTGGGAGGTGGTGCTGGGTTGTAGGAGAAAGCAAGCTCGTAACCAGCATCTGGTTCCTGCCTCCATTTCCAGCTTTGGCTTTCTTTGATGATGGAAAGCTGACAAGAAAACAAAATAAATACTCCCCCAAACTGGTTTTGATCAGTGTTTTATCACAGCAACAGCAAATCAAGCTAGAATAGTCTGTTTGCATGGGGGATGATGGGGTGGTATCAATCAGAATAAAGTCTAAGACAGGAATAAGCTACAGTTATTCTTTTAAAACATCTATTTGTTTTTCTTGAGATAGGGTCTTACCATGTATCCCTGGCTGGTGTAGACCATGCTGGCCTCAGATTTACTATGAGCCTCTGACTCTGCTTCCTGATTAGTGGGAATGCAGATAACAGCCATCATGCCATGCCTAAAAATAACTTACATTTACTTAAAGGATATCTAGTTGAGCTTCATTCCTGTGCATTTATCCTAGGTTGTCAACACTGCATGGTTCAGCCTTCACAATCTACCTAATGGGTTTAGGCTGCTGTTCTGGACATTTACACAAACGATGTAACCAAAGCCATCATCTACCCATACTCAGTGACACAGTTTCCATTGAGATTATCTCTCACAGTGCCCTGCTAAGCAATAACTGCGGATCTGTGACAAAAATACAGATTATGTTAACTAGAAAGGGAGCCTTTCTGAAGGTTCTAAGAAACATTGACAAAAAGATCTGACAGTAATTATACTCTACTGGAGAATATTAAATTATTATATTTTTTGTTATTAGAAAGTTTTTGAGCTGTTTGTAGTGACTCATACTTGTCATTTCAACACCTGGAAAGTAAAGGCAAGAAAGAGGTGTAGGGATCCAACAACATCCTCTGCAACAGTGATTTTGAAGCTTGTCAAGGCTACATGAGATTCTGTGCCCCTCTTGTCCCCCCTCCCCTACAAAAAGAATGGTTTGTAAGCCTGAGGTTGAATTGCTGAGATGTGTAATGTTACTCGGCAAATTTTGCATTATTTAACAACTTAGCAAACATTTATGAGGTGCTAGCTATAACTAGCTCTTCTGTCAGGTGCCGAGAGGCTGTAGATGAATGAGATGCTGTAATACATTTGGCATACAAGTGTTAATCAGAGATGATAAACCACTGGCTGTTACATGTTGTGATAAGTTAATTGCTTTGAGAATTAAAGTACTAGAGGAATTGACTACATTTGGGAGCACATTGATGTTGAAAGGTTAGGTGAGGAGAGGACAGACCTTAGCCCCAAAGGTTTGTGCTGTGTGTGAGTAGACAGTCAAGAAATGTTGCTAAACACGAAAGTGGAACAGTCCTTTTGGAAGTTGTTTCTTACCTGTTTAGTGTGTGGCAGTAGAGGTGGATAGTATATTACAGACAAATCATGAAGGGATCTTCCACTCTCCTTTCTTCCTTTTCTTTCCTTTTTTCTTTCGAGATGGGATCTCTCTTCATAGCCCTGGTTGTAATTGGAGTTCTTAGCTGGTCTAAATAATAAAAACCCAGAGCCAGATATAGTGGAAAATGCTGAGCGATCAGAGAGCCACCTTTACCTCATAAGCTTCCCAGCAGAAAAAGAGAGTGAGTTCCTGTTTCTTCCTGCTTATATCCTCTCTCTGCCTAGCCATCTCACTTCCTGTATGTCCACAGACATCCAGACCTGTATGGTTAGCTAGTGGCAAACTCCATCCTCTGATCTTCAGACAATTTTTATTTGTACAAGCAAGATATCACCACACCTGGTTGTCCTAGAACACATTCTGTAGACCAGGCTGGCCTTGAACAGGCAGATCCACCTGCCTGTGCCTCTCCAGTGCTGGGATTAAAGGGGTGTGCCACCATGCCTGGCCTACTCTATTCTAAAAGGTCTTGACCTACTGTTCATTTAATTGGCAATGGAAAGCCAAGGAGCATAGATGAAGCACATCATCAGGAAGAGACCAACAGTCCCTCCCACACAGGCCGCTTTAGAGTGGAGAGGCAGTGGAGTGCCGCTATCTCAGGACCAGAAAGTGGGATGGTTAGTGCTCAGGAACATTTCAGTTGTTAGAAGTGTAAAATCTTAAGAACACACAGAAGGGAGGGAGAACAAGATGGCATGCCTGCTGTGACCAAGGGGGTGATTATGATGCCATTAACTTAGAGAATAAAGGCGGGATGGTCTAAGTGCAGAGAAGCAATGGTGCTATGTTAATTTGAAGGCGATTATGGGGAGTTTCAGTAGACAGATCCACTCTGTAGGTAGTTGAAAATTCTACTTCAGAATTGGAGAGGACCAGGAGCAGTGCAGTGTAAATGACAGCTGAGACCTCAGGAATAGCAACTTTCTAAGGAGCATATAGGAGAGTTATTAACTTTGGGAACACTGGAGATAGAAAGATAACAGGCCAAATCCCTGTTGTACTGTTTATTGGCTGAGTGACCTTGCACAAATTAATGACTTTTATCCTCAGCTAATTAAAGAATTATTGTGAAGACTGAATAATACCGTGTGTATGTGGTGATAGCAGCGCGTGCCTTGTGTAAAAATGTTAAACAAAAGGCAACTATTGCTTCAATAGTAGTAATAGATGTAGAAGTAGGCCTCCAACTACATAAAAACAACAACAACAACAACAACAAAAACAGAAT